GAAGTGGTCGTCTGGAATGCGGGTGTTGGATGGCAGCTTCTGTATGACTTCAAGAGCCAAGTCTGCGAGGTGTAATTCCTTGTTGCCGATGGCCTGAATAATGAAGTCGTGGGCTGCTATGGCAACGTCAAAGAAGTGGTCGTCTGGAATGCGGGTGTTGGATGGCAGCTGCTGTATGACTTCGAGAGTACCCTTCGCGAGGAAAAATTTCTTGTTGCCGATGGCCTGGATGACTTTGGCACAGACACGCGTGCACAACTTGTCGACCAAGTCACCCGGATCGGTCCATGCCATCACGCATCGGACTGCACTACAGGCCTTCAGGAGGGAATCGCTCGTCTGCACCAAGACATCTGCATAAATTCGAGACAACCTTTTGTTTGTGACGGTGAGATTTCGAACTTGTGCGATATTTCGAACAATTTCCAACAAGAGCTCATCAGGTAGTGCTAGTAGGCTGGTACCCATCTCGAGGGAGTTGGAAATCTTGATAACCTCATAGTGCTTCCGATTTCGCGGTGGATACGCTTTCTCAGCCTCTACAGGATCGATCTTGTCCTTATCCATAAGGTACTCGTACTTGTCTACAACGGTCCCGCAGAACTCAGCCCAAGCCTTGTCGAGATACTTGTGGGCCTTAGCTTGTTCATCGGGATTCAAGCAACTGTAGTCGATGCTCCAGCGAGCGAGCTGTTTCCAGCCATATAGAGACATACTTGGCGCGCCAACCATAACTTGGTAGAATTCGTGTGACATAGAATTGCTGCAGTAAGTAAAGTCAGCAATTATCACTAGGCTTTTCGACACTTAGGACAAAAATGGAAGATACCTGAATAAATTTGGGTTGTCAGTATTCACGGTACAGGGTATGCCTGCAGCTAGCAATTCTGGGTACGGGTGTTCCTTTACGTTTCTGCAGAGGTGCAAGAGCTCGTTTGAAATGGGGCACAACTCGATGCAGATGCCAGGGTTGGTTTTGTTTTTCCGAAACTTTTTTACCAGGTATGGGTGCTTCATTAGGGCGAAGGCGTGACCAACGCGCTTCGATTTGAGAAGCACAGCGTCGTAGAGATTCGAATTTTTGGGATCGTCGGAACCGCCAGTGTCCAGCAGTGTCTCACCAGCGTGGAACATGAAGGGTATCTCCACATTCTCCTTCTCGCACTTTTCCTGAAAAGCAATAAGTTGGTCCTTGTAAAATGCGATGGAGTTGGGCCGGTCTTCAGCGCCGACTAGATCGAATCCTAAAGATACTTTAGACACTAGGAATGTAAATTCGAGACTGTGACTTCAATTACCGCAGATTAGATATGGAAAATCTTTCTTGAGTAACATGCACTCCTGTAGCTTCCTTTCCATTGCGTCAATGCCTATTGATCGCGGTGCACAGTATATAATTTTGAGTCCAAACGGAAATTTCTCTTCCTCCTTTTTTTTCTCCAGATCTTTCTTTTTCCAGTCTATCGCTTTCTTGATGAGCTTCATTTGGGCAGCAAAATCAAGGCAATCTTCTGGCTTCCCGCTATCATCAGAGATAAATTTGTCTAGCAGCATCAGTCGTAATTCGGCATACATAACCTTTTCGTCGATCATCTGGTCGATGGCATTGCTTATGTATGATTTGTAAGCACTCTTCACCAGCGCTTTAGGTACCCTTATGGCTTGATTGAATGAAGCCCATGTCCTTTATTATTATCCGTTAGACCAAAACTTGATTAAAGATAGTTATATGTACATACCCATTGACGGTTTGGTCGGGGCGGTAAAATTCCTCTTGACTACGCAGCATCTTTGACATCAACCATTTCTCAGCCGGATATAGAGTTTTTAGTGATGAAGATCCAAAACGATGCGGTCCTCCCTTGCGGGAAGTCTCGGGCGCTTGATCCTTATACTTTTCCGGAAATCTTTTTTCAAATTTCTTTAGAAAATTACCCCAGCGCATCCAGATTTTCTTCTGGAATTCTTTATCTTTCATATCGCTATGGGTTGTGTTTAGGGGATAATCCTCGGAGAATATGTTTACTTTATGTTTGACGGTGGTCGAATCTAGGACGTTAAAGATTAACTCGGTTGTGTCCAATTGGCTTTCGTCCTCGATACGTTGAGTGCTACGGACGTACATGTTCTCCACTTCTCGGGCTTGGAAAAGAAGTATTTCAGGGTGTAGTTCGGCATTAAAATCCAGATGCAGAAGAGCTCCCTTCGGTACCATCTTGGATATCTCAAACAGCTTGCTTTGAGTGTCTATGCGTTCTTTATTAGTAAGATATTGGCCGCCCATATCCAGATTCTTATCATCTGGCAGCGCCTCTGATCCCAGGTTTCCAAAGGTAACTTTGCGTTCATACTCGCGAATTGCGCATATAATGGTGGCGGCTCTTTGTTCTACCTTATCTTGCTCAGATTCTAAACCAGGCTTTGGCCTTGCATCCCTGTCCCAGACACTCTTATTATCTTTTTGAACAAGCCTTTCTCTTTGTTTTAGGTAATCTTCAATGTTGATTTTAGATTCCATCCTCTTGTCGAATTTGGGTCGAAACTGTGTTTTTTCTTTGCTTTTGCGTCACCTCTGTCGGGCACATCCCGGTGATAACTGGCCTGCTCAAGTGTTGGAGATCCGTACTATTGACACACAAAAAGTCTTGTTTACTCGTAAATATAGTCACGAAAATTGTCCTTCTTCTGGAAAGTCTTGGTCAACAGCCTCCAGCGGCAATTTCAACTTCTTGTTGTGATGCGGGTGAAGTCTCAAGTATAACATTTGAATAATATTTTCATGGGGGACACTAGTGGTAGTTTTCGCTTACTATCTTTTTTGAATAGATGATTATTTACGTAGTTGTACAGAGTAGTAAAATGACAATAGTAACACCTTGAAAGGTTTAGAGAGATGTTGTAACGTACATGTTTCATCACTGCATGGCACCTTTTCGACTGATGATGGCGTATTGATTACAGGTCTGAGCATCAACTAGCGAACATAGTATAGCTTCTGCAGCCATCCTAGGCACAGGTGTCATTCGTCTCAGTACCGATATAGTAAGCCAGTTGTCATCGTACTTCTAATGGTGAAACTGCATCCTCAAGTTCGTTAAGTACATATTAGACGTTAGTTCTAGAGTTTGCAACCATATCTTTTGCTAGCAGCGTCTCGTAAGTCACGGAATCTGAGAGCAACTATGGAGAATAT